CGAACACCCCAGCTTTGCACCAGGTAGAATCAGTGGCTCCACTCTTGACCACTGGGCCCAGTGGGAGCTGTGATCACTGACGCTGTCCAGGAACATGGAGAGAGAACTGACAGCCTAGGAAAAGAGTCAAATTCCAGACCTGCTGTGCAGTCGCTCAGGTTCGCGTTCTTTCCAGGCCAGGCAACGGCTGCACCTTAGGGATGTCTGCCCATGCCTTTATAAAGGTTAACGCCAGAAACAGAGAAGTCTGTATGTGTCGAGTCATGCCCCAAACTCCATTCATATGCTGATATTGCAACCTGCCGTAATCTTCGAAATACGACCGTATTTGGATATATAATCTTTAAAAAGGTTAAATGAGGTTATTAGTCTGGGTGCTAATTAATATGACTTTTTTTTTTTTAAAAAAAGATTTGTTTATTTTGATGGTATGTGCACGTGTGCTTTGCCTGCGTTTGGGTACCATGACCATGCCTGGTACCCAAGGAGACGAGAAGAGGATGCTGGGTTCCCTAGAACCAGAGTTACAGGATGTCTAACCCCACCTGGTGCTGGACCAGCCCAGATCAGGACACAAGCACAGGAGGGGCCGTGTGAAGATGCAGAGAGACTCCAGCCAGTGAGGTCTTAGGTTAAGAAACCAACCCTGTGCATACAGTAACGCTAGTTTCAGTCTCCAGATTGTGAGCAAAGGTATTTTTGTTGTATGAGGCTGTGGCTCTTTGTTAGGGCAGCCCTAGGAAAATACCCCGTGGCCATCTTTGGGGGGTGGGGAGGGTTCCTGTAGCGCCTTTCCTATTAGGAAACAGCGCTCTCTGCTGGTTCTTTATGTTCGTGACTCAGAACTAATGAGTTCCATGTGAGAACTGCAGGGTATTGAAATGTTCTTTACAGACCTCTTTATGAGCATGCATAAACAATATAAAATTTTATGGAATTATTTTTATATTTATTTATCTTCTTTTTTTGGAGCTAGGGTCTCACTATGTAGCCTTGGCTAGCCTGGTGCTTACTACATAGACCAGGCTGGCCTCAAACTCGGAGATCTGTCTGAAGTCATATACCAACAGCCCGGCTATTTATTCCTGATGGATCCAGTGTTAAAATACAATTATTCCTCCTCCCCTGGGTTCCACAATGACAAGTATAACAAGGCACAGGCAGAAGATATTTGAAAAGAAATTGCATCTGGGGTTGGGGAGACGGCACAGTGTAAGGCACTTGCTGTGTGAGCTAAGGGTCCGAGTTCAGGGCCTCAGCAACCCTGAGGAAGCGGGGCTGGCAGCACACACCTGTGACCCCAGGCCTGGGAAGGTGACAGAGACAGGTAGGTCCCTGGAGCCCACTGACTGTGCCCTCTAGCCAGGTCACCGAGTTCAAGGTTCACCAGGAGACCCTGTCTCAAAAAATATCATAAAGAGTGATTGAGGGGAGATGCTGGAATATTGACCTCTGACCTCCACACTTGTGTACACTCATCCCACTTCCAAACAAACAAAAAATATTTTCCTAAACCTTTATTGTAAAACTGCAGTCTTTAACCTTGTCTGTTGCTCCAAGGTTTACTCTATGAGTGCTCTGTTTCCAAGAAGAAAATGCTGTCTAGTTGTGGCTTATCATCGCCAACCTGTGTCCTGCCCTGTGCCCCTGGAGGTCAGGGACTATCGTGAAGGTTATGGGCAGAACCAGAGGTCAAACTCCAGCGCATTTCGGTTCGAACCTAAGACTGTCCTCCAGCATCAGCCTCCGAGCTGCTCGTGTGAGCCGCAAGCAACCAAAGCCTTTTCCAAAGGCTTATGGTGAAAAAGGGAGACTTAGCCTCTTGGCTGGTGCTAGGCATGACCCACATATCCTTCTGGCTTTTGTTTTTTTTAAAACAGCAATAAAACAAAATGAAAGGGGAAATCTCACAGCTGGGTTCCAGTTGTGGATGCCATTCAATGGTTCCAACAACCTTTACAAAATGCTCGGTTTTGTCTCTCAGTCTGGGTTAGGAGTGGCACATTTTTGTGGGGAGCAAAGAATGCCTTTTCTGGATGCACAAGAGAAATCTAACTGAAGTAATGAGGTTAGTCTGTCCAGCCTTGGCCTGAGCAGGGCAGCATTTCTACAGGGAAAGTCTTGGCACAGCCAGCCGCTCAGAGGGGAGGCAGTGTGGTCACTGTTCCCTTTAGGAGAACAAGGAGCTCCCAGTGGCTGCTCGCTTGAACTTCTCGCTAACTCCAAGACTGATACTGAAGACAAATCTGAGAAGGCCATCACGAATAATAAAACCCAGAGACAGATATTGGGGTTCAAGCTGAAGATCAGAAAAGCAGATCAGTCAAGACACCAGAGAAGTCTCACCTCTCCCAAGGCTGGGCGACTGCAGACTGAGCCCTGAGCCTTTGTCTCCTCCCGTCTTATAGTCCCCAAAGGCCTGTGACCCCCCTAGTACTGGGATTAAAGGTGGGAGCCACCACCACCTGGATCTGTTTCTGCATTGATCTTGTGTAGCCCAGGGTGGCCTTGAACTCACAGAGGTCCATCTGCCTCTGTCTCCCAAATCCTGAGATTAAAGGTGGGTGTCACCACTGCAGTCTCTAGTGACTTAGTTTTACCCTCTGATTTTCAGGAAAGCTTTACTTATTTAAAACATAAATAAAATATTGCTATAGGCATCTTGGGCACACGTCACATGCAAGGGGATTCAACAGTGAACTGGAAGTCACAGACACTGCTCTCCTATCATTTCCTTGCACACTTACTACGCGCTACCTCTGGACAGAGTGGTGACCCTAGCTAAGCGAAGTCTTAACGGTCTGAAAGCATGAGATGTTAAGCCCTTTGGATCCAGTTAAATACCTCATCTGCTTTCAAGCAAATGCATAGTTGGGTGAATCTGTGCTCTGAAATGAGGGAGCGCTTTCTGAGAACACCAGGATCTCTGAAATACTGGTGAGAGCAGAGCGTGGTGGATTTCGCTCTTGACACCACAGAGCCCCAGCTTTGTAACTCCTGTGTACAACAATAATTACGTTTGATGATCTGTTGTCTCAGTCTCCTATAGAATAGACACTGCAAAAGGGAGGCATGGCTAGTTGAAGGTGGAGGGATAAAGAAGGGAAAGAAGTGGCTAGTGGAGTAGAGACACACGTGACCACGAAAACAGGCCATGTGAATCAAATGCCATCGTTTTTTGGCCTCGAGAAAGCTCTTACCGGCTGTAGTTAGCGCTGGCTCTGCCGCCTCCGCGGAGGGTTTGCTGCTCCGAGCTCTCAATGCCCTGTAGATGGTTCTGCTTTTCTTCCCTGTTTCATCCTTGGTGACTGCTCTGTGGCAAGACCTGTGTCCCCCTTTCCTTCCTTCTTCTTTTTCCTGTTCTGAGACACCGCAGAGTTGACATGCCAGTTCTGATTATATGCAAAACTGACTAACAATGGCCAACAGTTTCATCCTGAGATCTGGATGCAGTTTAGCAATCATTAGGCCTTGAGCAACAGTTTCCTCTGAGCATAAAAATGCTCACAATCGAGGCATATATTGCTCTATATGATTTATCATCCTCATTGTCATCATTATCCTCGTTTTGAGACAGGATCTCATGTAACCTTGGACGGCCTGGAAGTCTCTGTGTAGCCAAAGATGGCCTTGAACTCCTGATCCTCCTGCCTCCACCTAGTGAGTGCTGGGATTACGGAAGTATGCCGCCGCTCCTGGTTTATGTGGCCCTGTGGATCCATTGCAAGGCCTCATACATGCCTCATACGTGCCGGGCAAACTCGCAGCCCACAGAGCTGCCTCCCAGCCCGATGCAGTGTGTTATTATTCTTGTCCTCTGCTCTGCTTGTGGGTCACGTGCAGTATCTTAACTTCTCCTTCCTTCCCCAAAGGGTCAAGTCATCCTGGTGTCTTGTTCAATCTGGTCTTTTCCTGTCTCCACAAAAGGTCCCCAGCACTTCCGCTTGTGAGCAGTCTCTTGGAGAGGTCTTTTTCCCAGAGTGACTTAACTACCATCTTTGATATATCTACACTCCAATTATGAAGTTCCTGTTTTATGTATGTAATATATACACCCCCTTAGGCTTCTATTGCTGAAATAAAATCAAGAAGAAAGCATTGACTTCAGCTTTCAGTCCCACATCACAGTGCATCAGTGAGGAACGTCAGGACAGGATCTCCCCCAGGGCAGGAACCTGAAGGCTGGTGCAGAGGCCATGGAGGGGTACCGTTTGTTGGTTTGCTCTTAATAGCTTGCTCAGCCTACTTTCTTATATACCCTGGGACCACTGGTCCGGGTGGCCCCATCCACAATACGTTGGGCCCTCCCACATCAATAACCCAATCAAGAAGATGCACCAGAGGCTTGCCTCCAGGTCAGTCTGGTGGGGGTACTTTCTCAGTTGGGGTTTCCTCTTCCAAAATTACTCTCAACAGACATAAACCCATCCAGCACTATGTCTGTCTGTCTATCTATCTATCTATCTATCTATCTATCTATCTATCTATCTATCTGCATTACTTTTCTTTGTTCTTGAGATTTCACACAGATATGTGAAATATGATCATATTTATTTCCAGTTTCTCCATCTCCAGCTCCTGCCGTATTCTCCCCAGTCGTTCTCACTCCAGTTTCATGTTCTGCTTTATAGTCCACCAAGTCCAGTTAGTGCTGTCCACGTGTACATGGATGTGGGACCATTCACATCCTAGAGGAGGGGAACTCTGGTGTAGGAGGTCCTTCTGTATTTGTGTTGCTTTCATTGGTTGAATAAAGAAACTGCCTTGGCCTTTTGATAGGGAAGAGCTTAGGTAGGCGTGGAAAAGAGAACTGAATTCTGGGAGGAAGGAAGCAGAGTCAGAGAGAACCACTATGAAGCTACCAGGTCAGAATGCTGAATCTTTCCCGGTGAGCCATGACCTCATGGTGACATATAGATTATTAGAAATGATAATTTCTATAAGAGGCTAGAACTAATGGGCCAAGCACTAATTTAATTAATACAATTTCTGTGTGATTATTTTGGGGGTTAAGCTAGCTGGGCGGCAGGACACAGCCTGCATCTCCTACAACAGAACCCTACCAGTGGCCACGTCCTCAAAGGAGAACCTCACTTCTCCAGCACCTATCAACTGCCGTTAGGTCCTCGGTAAGTGATGGGGCCTGGGGATTGTCTACCCCACTGTCCTGGCTGGTTTAATAACACAAGCTAGAGGTATCCAAGAGGAGCAATTGAAAAAAATACCTCCATAAAACTGGGCTGTGTGCAAGCCTGTGTGAAGTTGTCTTAATTAGTGACTGATGTGGGAAGGCCCAGACCATTTTGGATGGGGACACTTCTGGGCTGGTGGTCCTGGCTTCTATAAGAAGGCAGAGTGAACAACCCATGGGGAGCAAGCCTGTAAACAGCACCCCTCCATGACCTCTGCATCAGCTCCTGCCTCCAGGTCCTGCTCTGTTTGAGTTTCTGCCTTGGTTTCTCTCAAAGGACTGTGTGTGATTCAGGATATGTAAGCCAAATAAACCCTTTCTTCCCCAAGATGCTTTTGGTCACAGTGTTTCACTGTTGGGATAGAAGCTGTAACTCTGATGACACCTATGCTGGGATTTTGGCTCTGGGCCTGGGTGTCAGGTTCCTACTATTGAAAAGTGTGGCAATTCACTCCCAAGGAGTGGTGTGAAGATTGAAAAAAAAAACTTTGTGTAACTTTAGACTGGTTCGCGATGGCTGGATAAACATTTGCTGCCTGAGGAAACTTCACATCAGACACCGAAGTCATCTTCCTTGATAACAAAGTATACACAGCCAGTTGTCATGGCAACTGCAGCTTCAGTAGATGGGAGAAGGCAGTAGAAGGACCAGAATCTTGATGGCAGAGTGGGTTAAACAGAGAGAAGTCTCAACGATGTGATTATAATCTCAAAAAGAGAGTTAATTTTAAAAGAGTGGTCTCAAGAAACAAAAGCTATCCATATTCTCCAAGTAGAGCTATTTCTTTAGAAGGAGAACAGGTAAGAGTTGCCACAAGGAGAATTACCCAGAGAGGAGCTTTCTGCTGCTGTTTCTCGGCCTCTAGTGATCTGGTACATTCTTTGCTTCCTTTAAAACCCTGTCCTGCAGGAAAGTGTTACTAGCGGTGACGACAGGGCCAGGGCGATTTGTCTGTCTCTCTGCTCCAGCTGACAGTCTGGGTCCGTGGCCATGGCCGTGGATCCTAAGCCAGGGAGCAGACTCACAAGTGTGTGAACACGTATCATAGGACACGTTGGGAAATATGGCTGCTTCAGAGCAAATCGCTCCTGTAGTAGTTTCCATGATAAACACCACTCCCTAAGTAACTCAGTGAGGAAAAGGTTTATTTTGCTTATAGGTTACCTTCCATCATCAGGGGATGCCAACGGCAGGAACTCCAGGCAGAAACCTGGAGGCAGGAACTGAAGCAGAAGCCATGGAGGAGTGCAGTTTACTGGCTCGCTGCTGCCCGTGGCATGTTCAAATGGTGATTCATGGTGGGATGCTCCATTCCATATAAACCATCAATTAAGAGAATGTCCCCATAGACTTGCCCATAGGCTAATCTGATATAAGCAATTCCTTCGCTAAGGTTCCCCCTTCCCAAGGCTCTAACTTCTATCGAGTTGACAAAAATCTTAACTTTTCCACTGATAGATGTTATGGCCGCTCTCACCAGAAGGTGGCGCTGTTTCTCAAGGAACGGGGAGGAAGCCCGTAAACTGGCTATGAGTTCATTTCAGTGTGTGAAATGACTGTAACAGGAGGTGGCTCCATCATCCTTTCATTTTCCTGGCAAAACGTGGAGATCCAAAGACCAAGAGGTAAGTGCAAATCAAATACTCTTTCACAAAGTCACACTACAGATTTCTAACCGAGACAAAGCCAGACACAGGATTCCTGGTTCACAAATTCTGCAGTTTTCCCCACAATAAGTGTCCTGATCTAAATGCTAAATGTTCTCTCGTCTGTCTGTCTATCTGTCTCTCTCCCTCTCTCCTCTCTCTCTCTCTCTCTCTCTCTCTCTCTCTCTCTCTCTCACACACACACACACACACACACACACACACCTTTCATACATACAGATACACAAACACACACCTACACGCCATTGAGACAGACAGACATACACGCATGCATGCACACCACACTACACCAAGCAAATAACAACTTGAAAACAGAGTGAATCATTTGATGGCTAAACGTGATATTTCCAAAGCTTTAAGCTACTGAATTTCTCACCTTTTCCAATGTCTGTTATTCTCAATTACAAGCCAGGATCAAGCTGCAATTTATTATAAGCCATTTTAATATATTTGTGATAATCTACTCATATTTTCCCACATTTAAATGAAGAAGAACAATCACAAAGGATGACATTAAACACTGCATTGTCTTCCTAGAAATGTAGGTAAAGTTAAAACACTTGTGTAAAGACACACGCGGTGGTTACAGACTTTAGAAGGGGCTCACGGGAGACAGAAGCGGCTCTCAGGCAGTCAGCCATCTTTGACCTCGCTCTTCAGAGTGAAGCCACTAGGAATGGACAGAGCTAGTGCCATTCCACAGGTGAGCAGATTCTGAAACTGTCTTTTAGGAGTTTCCTACTCTGATGTCCTTGTTAGTTTCTCATCAACTTGACACAGCTGGATTCCTGTCCTCTGGGAAGAGAGGACCCTGACTGAACAGAGGCCCCCATCCCACCAGCTTGTGGGCAAGTCTGTGGGGGCACTTTCATGATTCATGATTGATGTGGGGGGGCAGTCTGATGTGGGTGGTGCCATCCCTGGGATGGTGGCCCTGGGATCGATAAGAAAGCAGGCTGGGCAAGCCTTTGGGGAGCACGCCAGAAAGCAGCTCCCCTCTGTGGTCTCTGCATCAGCTCCTGCCTCCGGGACCCTGCCTTCACTTCCCTCATGGATGGACTGTGTGGTGATGTGGGAGCTAAATATTTTCTTTCCTCTTTGAGTTGCTTTTCATCACATCTACAGAAAACACACGAGAACTCCTAAAACAAGTGGTTTTCTCTATTTCAGGAGATGGGGAGCACTGTGGAGTCAGGAATGGCTCTGCTTTCTCTTGTGGAGCTGGAATGCAGTCAGCGTGGCCTGGAGGCTGTGTCTTAGAGAGTCCCAGCTCAGCAGAAGTGTAGGATTTGCCTCTGCATGACACTGGAAGCCCTTCTGGAGATGCTGGTCACACTGCAGACATCACTGCAGGCCTGGGTTCATCCCATTCCTTGTGCTTGTGTTGTTTCCCTTCAGAGCTAAGGGAGATTTGTGAGAACGGATCGTTTCTGGAATAGGTTTTCAGTATGTACATTGCGGCATTTGGGATATATGTATGCCAAGAAAGTCACTGTTGTGTGTTCTCTTCCCTATCTGGTGAACTCTCCTCTGGTGTGGCCAGGGCTTCTAGACTAGGCTCTGCAATGGAAATGTTCTCAGAGGGAGAACCATTTCTTTCCCTTCTTGGTGGCCACAAGAGGGAGGGGCTCAGTGCTGGTGGCCACTGCGGCCTTGTTACCTTTCTCCTTAGAGATGCCTGGATTCTGTTGATGTGCGCCCACCTTCTCTACTTCTAAATAAGCAACCTTGGAAAGGCTTTTCTAGTGACCAGCACACAGCTGGGAAGCCCTCCGGGTGCTCACAGTAAGGCAGGGGGGTCACATGTAGCTCGCCCTGCAAAGCCCTGCATACTGAGCTTACAGTCAAGCCATGCACCTCCCAAATATAAATGGGAGAAGGCCCTGCTCCTCTTCTGCATTACTGATTATTATCTAATATTACTTTGTGAGTGTGAAGATTGAAGTCAGGGCCTCACTCTGCCAGGCGAGAGCTCCACCACTAAGCTGTGTCCAGGACCCTCCTTTGCTATGTTTCCTTTTAAACCACACCTAAAGCAAGATAGTGACGACAGAAAGAACACATGTCAGAAAGAACAGGTGCCGGTAAGAACATGTGTCACGCCCGTTTGGGGGAATTACCTCTTATAACTCCCAAGCGCAACAGATTGCTCTACAACACCAGGTCTTCGTGTTTTCTGATCAGAGAAATGGCGGTCTTGCCACACTGGACTTAGCCGAAGTTGCCTTGTAGGTCGGGCCGCCATCTTCCCTTCTGCTCCCCAACACCTGCGGTGACAGCTTATAAAGTACCAGTGACTGCAAACAACTTATGCTGGAGAGGGTGTGGGAAAGGGAACACTTCTGCATTGCTGGTGGGAGTGCAGGCTGGTACAGCCCCTTTGGATGTCAGTGTGGCGAGTTCTCAGAAAATTAGAAAACAACCTTCCTCAGGACCCAGCAAAACCACTTTTGGGCATAGATCCAAAGGATGCTCAATCGTGCCACAAGTACATGTGCTCAACTGTGTTCATAGCAGCTTTATTTGCCATAGCCAGAATGTGGAAACAACTTAAATGCCCCTCTACTGAAGAATGGATAAGGAAAATGTGGTACATTTACACAATGGAGTGCTACACAGCAGAAAAAAAAATAACGACATCTTGAAATCTGCGGGCAAATGGATAGATCTAGAAAACATCATTTTGAGTAAGGTAATCCAGACCCAGAAAGACAATTATCACATGTACTCACTCATAAGTGGTTTTTAAACATAAAGCAAAGAAAACTAGTCTACAATTCACAATCCCAGAGAACCTAGACAACAATGAGGACCCTAAGAGAGACATACATGGGTCTAATCTACATGGGAAATAGAAAAAGACAAGATCTCCTGAGTAAATTGGGAGCATGGGAACCATGGGAGAGGGCTGAAGGGGAGGGGAGAGGAAGGGAGGAGAGCAGAGAAAATGTATAGAGCTCAAGAAAAATGAATTAAAAAAAGAAAAAAGTGACACCCAAAGCAAGTGGTGACCGCATTTACTAGCAACAGAATACCCCAGTGGGAGGTTACAGCTGGCTTTAGGGATCCAGCGTCCTCTCTGATGTCTGGGGACCTCTCTATGTGGCAGTGGCAGCAGCAGAGACCGCCAGCCTGTTATAATAGCTGTAGTCTCTGCAGTGACGGTATGGCCCATTTTTAGGGTAGCACTGGAGTGGACCAAATAAGAAAATAAGTTTTGCAGAAAAAAAGTCTCAAGCTGAATGGACACTGTGGCCACGGCTCCAGACTGTTTTCTTTCCGCCCACAGTGGTGGCTCACACCTGTGGTCCCAGCACTGGAGGGCTAAATAGGAGGATTGCCGTGACTTCCATGCTAACCTAGGTTACGCAGTGTGCTCCGGGCAAGCCTGATCTACAGTATGAGATCTTGTTTAAAGCACAAAATGAAAACCAACAGAACCATAAGCAGAACCATGCCCTTATTTCAGTTTTGAAACACTTTACGTTTTATTATTAAAAAATTCTCCCTCTTTATCAAATTATTGTTAGTTGACAAAAAATGCACACCCTTCATGCCCTGAAAGGTACGACGTGTTGATTCACATCGACACTGTAAAATGATGCACTATTAGTCTAATTAACAGATACATCATTTCCTATGTGACCATTTTTGTGTGTGAGAGATTTTTTGGTGAGATGACCTAAGACACTTTCTTCACAAACTTCAAGATAGAGCTTGCTGCTATTGATCCAGAGTTACCTTGCTGCTCACTGGGTCTTGAGACTAAACAGTTCCAAATACATCAATCCTAAAATATCCCCGTCACTAACAATTTTAGTCCCAGAGAGTTAGCCACACACTTCTTCTTTGTTCCTTAGACCTTATTTTCAGTAAAAAACAACAAAACCTATTTGACAACACATTAAGTGGCTATGTACATTAAATTGTGGCTCACACAGAGACTTGACTAAGGTTCCAGGCAAACACTTCCAACTGTCTTTCTGCCCTGTTCTGGTCTGGTACAGGCATGTTCACTCTACTGGTTGGGAAGAAGTTTTAAGAACTATTTTGAAAATCAGGGCAATAAAACAAATTATAGTGTATATCACATTTGCACATCCCAAATATGTGCCCTGGTTCATTAGTTATGGTTCATATTTATGTTATTGGTGCTCATTTTAGAAATCTCAATTAATAATAATAACAATCCCTCCTTTCAAAGTGCAAATTAGCAAGAAACCAGAGCAACCATATCTGAATATCCTCCCCGCCTCCCCTCCCCGGGAGGCTTTAGAGTGAACTTGCAGAAACTGGACAGGAAAGTGAATTCTTTAAACTCAGAATGTAAAGGGAAACGGTAAAGTTGGCATTATTCTCATTTGTTTATTGAGTTTCCACTTTACGATACAAGGGGGATTGTGTCTGTAATTCACATGTGAGGGATAGAAGTTGTGCTATTTATTTTTAGCAGTTGTGTTTTTAAAAAAATACCCGATTGTAATTCTTGTTACCAAACCTAACTGTGCATGCTGCTGCAGGTTTGCGGCCGGAGATAAAGCCAGAGAAAACAAAAATTCCAGGCTGCGAGACAGAGGGTTGTGCGTTCTCTACCTCGACTGCCTTTTTTTCTTATACATTTAAAAAGATATATCACTTAGTTTTTGTTTTTTTAAAATTATCATTAGGGGAACCTAGGTTAAGAGGAAGGAAGCAGAGCTTTTGCAAGGACTGTGACACCAGTGCCCACACAAAGGACTTCTGGGCACAGGAGAAGCAGAACTGAGATGGTCTTCAGTGGCTTTTAACTGTGTCCGGAAACAGCCTGGTTTCCCTGGAAGCTTCATCACAGAGGGGCGCGCGCGAGAGACTTAAAAACACCCTTCCGGGTGACTTGAGTCCAAGTGGAATCAGCTTTTCTCTTTGAGTTGTGATTGATTTCAGCACAGTTTGGACTTTTTCTCTCCGACATGTGTGATCTTTGCAGCCCATGTTAGCACATTTCCCTCTCTGGAACTCAAGTCCGAATGCAAACTCTTAAGCCTGAACCCTCCTCCGAGGGCAGAACCCAGCTGACAGCTGACACCCTTCCACGCCCACGGCTGAGGCCACGTGGGAGCTGGCGTAGATCCCAAACCAGCTTGAAAGTCAATGTCCAGCAAAAGGAGAGAGACAATCTCTGGAAACCATGGGAACGTGAAATGCCAGGTAACAAATATACCCAGGCTTCCTTTTCAGAAAGTTTCCATGGGAGCCTGGGCCAGCCCGAAAGCAGAAAGAACAAAAATAGCCGTGTGGTGCTCAGGGCCGTGTTACCATATTGTGCTCAACGTGAGGTTATTAATTTCACAGTTTTCACAGATAAGTTTAAACATAGGAACATGTCACAAATAAGCCTCGGTCTCAAGGAGGCGGTTCCAACTGGGAATTAACAGCCTGCAGTTTTTGAATTCAGCCGAGTCCCCAAGGGCCAATCAATATTGGTGACAATTATTCTTAGCACAGGGCCCAAATGCAGTGGGTGTGTTTTTGTCCGTGGTATCAAGGTGGGAGAGTGTGATAGAGAAATAAGCAAATTCCCCAGGGGCCCACGGTGGCTCCCGACAGCTGCGGCGGGCGGGTGAGTCCGCTGTGGGTCTCTCTGGCGTGTTTCTTCGAATAGTCCCATAATGACCCCATTATTTTAACCCTTGAACATGAGCAATGTTTGATAGGCAGCTAGAAAAAGCCTAGTGTCAAACAAAGAGAGCATGGTGGGGAAAAAACGTAAACAAACCGGAATGCTCTCTGGAAGCAGCTGCCGGGAGCATCGCACATACACAAGGTTTATTTACCAGCTCCGGTTTCTAAGCCGCAGCCTCTCAGGGGCCAGTGCTGGGGACACAGGTATGTCCTCGTGAGGCAGAGTCCCTTTACATTCTACAAGGAGAGGAAATAAAACTATTTTTCTCCCGTAATTATTTTTTTTCCTGAAGAAAGATACTGGCTTATGCAAACCGATCAAATTTTGTTTTCTTTGAAGAGTTTTGCTTAAACGTATTTTTTGTTATTTGCTGTATTTTTGAGGGAGTTGAGAAATAGTGAAAGTGGGGAACAAGGAATAGAAAACCAGAGGTGGACCAGAGCGTAAAACAGCAGGTCACGTTCCTTTACTTGGTAGGGCTCAGGTTTAAGTGAGTTGGCCCTAACCTTGAGGGATATGTTGACCACACTAACAGAGTTGGAATTAGCTGGGGACAGAAGGGATAAACAGAGTACTCAGACAGAACAAATTAGAAAATATGCGTTTTGAGTTTTCTGGTCCTCGACAGAGAGTCTCTTTTTGTCCTTCTCTGGAACCTAATTCTGGCTTTCCACCTACTTTCACGTCCAGCTAATTAGTCATTTAAAATGTCAGCTTGCCAGGGAGCTAAAGCGATCTAATGCCGTAGTAAAGAAGAGCAACACGCAGCCGGTCAGCGCTGCGCTCCGCTTCCGTTGTGTTCTCATGCTGGTGGTTTTCTGAAATAAACACCACAGGCAGGGAAGATTCTAGAACAGAAACAAAGGGAAAGCAGAAAAGTCCCCTGATAAAAAACCAGCCTCTTGTGCTCGCTTCGGCAGCACATATACTAAAATTGGAACGATGCAGAGAAGATTAGCATGGCCCCTGCACAAGGATGACACGCAAATTCGTGAAGCGTTCCATAAAAAACAACAACAACAACAACAACAAAAAGCCAGCCTCTTGGATTTGTTAGTCAACAGTACAGCAGCCATCTTGGAATTAGGGATTTTGTTTGAGGACTTTAGTAGTTTTCCCACTTCAAAAGAAAAACTGGACTGAACCGAGGGAAATACTGGAAGACATTCTGGGTCATCAGAGTCAGTTTGCTTCTTCGAGGGTTCCAGGTTCCTGTGGCTCCTCCTCGATAAGAGAAGAATGAGAACCGATTTTAGGATGGTTTTATTGATGCCTTGCTTAACACAGTCTGGAGCCCTGTGTGGTGGCACGTACCTCTGGTCCCAGCTCTGGGGAGGAGGATCGAGAGTTTGAAGTCAGCCTGGGATACACAGCAAGTCTAAGACCAGGCTGACGAAGCTGCAATAGACTCTCTCCCAGACAGGGGCACCTGGTAGGGCAGGTGGCTCTTCATGCAAAACTGGCAGTTTTTAAACCTCACAGCCAGAGTTTGAGCCCTGGTTCCCAATCAAAAGCCAGAAGAAATGGCATGTCTCTGTGGCTTTAGCTCTCCTACCCTGAGATACAAGAAAGACCAGGAGAACTGGGTAGAAGCTTAAAAACCAGCTCACCTGAAGTCCAGAGCTCAGAGACTGAAACAAGAGAGACCCTGCCTAAAAAAGGAGAGGATGGATTCTTAAAAATTGTTTTCTGAGCCGGGTGGTGGTGG